CACGCAAAACCCCTTTCATTTAGAATCTTGACTTGAGCCTCAAAAGAGACAACCTTTTCACTCAGTTACAGTCTGACTAGTCAGAGAGACTCATTTTCTTCTTGCAGCACAGAAACCTTCTTGGTCAACCCAATATTATCCACTTGTGCAACACAAGTCACATTAAAGAATAAGCCATACTCAAGACACAGATTCTCATCAATCAAGTCCTCAATCTCATCCAACACAAATGCATCACCACTAGGAGACATCTCTTCAACTGAGGTAACAAAGGTAATGGCTTTCTCCTCATCATCTGATGACCTGTCAGAACAAACAGAATCTTCACTCTCGTTATCACACTAGGTAGCCATCATTGTTTTGTCATATTTCTGATGCGGTTTCTTGTTGTTTGCACACTTAGCAGCACGATGTCTAATACCACTATAAGAGAAACAAGGTCCATGTTCACTAGTAGAAGGCATGTCTGTACGACTAATAATTCTTCCTCGCTTCCTACTAGCCATGGTCAATGTGACTTCACCTGGGGACCAATCACACTTTGCTTTTTCAATAAATTCACCGTCCATAATCCATGAGAGAGCCCTCCATTCAAAGATGAGGTAATCAACTACAATTAAATTTTGTGCCTTTAAAAAGATTTGAAACTTTTCACACCATGCATCATAGTCTGTTCCATTAGATTCCACCAAATACCAATAACTCCCAAAGATCACTTGATGTATATCTAGAGGAATGCTCTGATACCAATTGAAATCGGGTATTAAGCGGAATCTCCTGCAAATAAAAATTTAATTTTGCATAGTGGACTAGTTAAATGAGCTAGTCAACTAGTTACAAGTTAGTCAGTGATAAAAAATACAGTTGTACGAGCAAACCAAACTGGCCAATAGGTTCAATTAATCGAGTCTGCCCATATTAGTTTCACGACAATAATCCATATGCTTGAACACATTTACATATCAGTTCATTATACAAACAGCAATGACAAAGCAATTATGAATTAAAGCATGCTGGATTGACTAGTCAAGCTCACCAGTTAACTAAGTACAGATTCATATCAGTTAAACAAATGCAAATCTACGAATCAAATTTAGTTCACTATAAGTTACCGCAGTCAACAATAGTTTTGTCCATTGCTCATAATATGCAGTGTAAACTTTGAAATCAATTGTACTGACTAGTTAAACGAAATAATCAACTGAGTACAGATTGGACAAGTTATCGCAGTCAACAATGTTATCGCAGTCCCCACGAGTTTTTAACTGTTAAATCTTTGATCAAAGATGCCAATGACCAATATCTAACGGCTACGAATCCTACGGCCGCTTCAATATAATTTTCATAAAAACATGGGCTAAATAGAACGCCACTGCATAACATAGACTGGACAAAGTGTAGGAAAACGGCTGATAGGAAGCCAGTTCAACATAAAAACATTGCATTCTCCAATTCACATCCTCACATCCTCAATTGACCAGGAAAATCAACACTTACAAACAACAATACCAGCAGTTTCAGAAAAACAGAAGAAATGGTCCGAGGACCCACGAATAATACTAAGGGAACTCTCAACCAGACGACAACTTCCACATCTACTCGAATGCTTCATCATCATCATCGGGAAGGGGCTGACTAGCAGCTGCAGCAAGCTCAGCCTCGTGCCTGTATTATCAATGACAATATCAAATGTAAGGTCCTTGCAGTTTGCAAAAGAAACCAACAAAAAAGCAGTAAACACTAATATGTCGAGTCCAATCATAAACTATTAGCCTTTTTATAAGGCTTTATATTCCTTGTTACATTAGATGTGTGCCTAACTACGTGCGGTGTGTGTGTGTGTGAGGGGGGGAGAGAGAGAGAGAGAGAGCCTAAGAAAATTTGGGTAGGCTTACTGTTGTTGTGCAGCAAGATCAATGTGCACTTCTGGAGGAGCCAAGGCAGGGGATTCGACAAAATGCAAGTTAGGGTCCCTGCAACAAGCAGCGCTTTCAGTAACTTAAACTGCACTTCCAAAAGTCACAAGAAAATTACACCTATTGACGACTTAAAAGATTTTACCCTGCAAGCTTTCTGGCAAGGTACAAGAAAGGCTTCTCGAAGTTATAATTGCTCTTAGCTGATATCTCATAGTACTGAAGATTCTTCTTCCTGTGGAAAGTAACTTGCTTTGCCTTGACCTGCCTGTTCTTTACATCAACCTTGTTTCCACAAAGAACAATCGGTATGTTTTCACAGACCCTGGAATTCAAAGAGAACCCAAAAAGTCAAATACCAAAACCCAAAACCTCATTGAGAGAAATACATGCGATAACAAATAAAGAAAACTTTGCAAGCAAACCTGCAAAGATCCCTGTGCCATGTGGGAACATTCTTGTATGTCAACCGAGCAGTAACATCAAACATGATAATAGCACATTGCCCATGGATACTGCACAACAACGCAATTCAAAATCAAAGTAAGAAAATATCACATTTTGGGGAGCACAATCGACATACACATGGTGAGCAATAACTACAAAACCTTCCTGCATCCACTAGGAATGGAACTACAGAAAGTGACATGAATGCTAAAAGGTATAAAGCATAAATAAATAAAAAATCCTTTCAACAAAGTCCGGAAGAAACTAATCTTAGTTATAATCCATGAAACAAAGGTTTCGTCATCCAGATTTGCATTATCATATCTCAATGAAGCATGTCAATCATTCGACTCAAAATTCAACATAGCACTATACAAGGATAAGCACCAGCTTTAGACTTGACTGATCCAATAACAAACCAAATCTTGAGCAACAATTAACGCTGACAAGAATTTAGAAAGCAGAATACTTAATGCTCTAAACACAGCCAAAAAACAAATGCAAACAAGTTTGATAACAAACTTCAGCCAGAAATTTAAGACTACAATAAAAAAAAAAACTCACTAGTATCCATCTCTAAGACCTCCGAACTTCTCTTGCCCGGCTGTATCCCAGCAGTAGAATCGAATTTTTCCACAGTTGGTGAAAAAGTCCAATGGATGAACCTCCACACCAATAGTTGCTGTCCATTAACCAAGAATGCGCATGAGTTCCATAGATCACAAAATGGAAAGGGAACAGTCAATAAATAAAAGACAAATCAAAAGGGAAAAGCAGTACGCAAGATACTTACGTTCATATTTCTTCTCAAATTCACCAGTAAGATGTCTCTTCACAAAGGTTGTCTTTCCTGCATCGACAGAAGTTTCAATTAGGGAAACACCACAGCATTATAAACAAATTACTCAATCCTTACCATCATCAAAATTACTCCACAGTTTGAAAAAGAAAATTTCCACACTCACTAATACCAGCTATCAGATCACACCGGGACAGGATCAAACCACCAAACATAAAATTTAAGCCACATTTTCATTTGAACAACTGTAACAAGGTCCAAGAACCGAAACGCCGGTAAACAATTTCCAGAGAAGTAACAAGTTTAGACGTACTTTAGTTCATTTCCATTGCTCTAATCGACTTTGAGGTAACGTCATGGGAAATCACCCTACAACTACCTAATCACTCAAACATCCAAACTTCATGTCTACCATTTAGGTCAAGCTCTCAAAAAAATATATATATATACACACACATATATGTATCTACAACTGCTACACCAAATTAAACTCTTTACCAAAATTAAAACTCAAACTCCATATTTTCCAAGCAAAAGAGTTTGCATTTTGTTCATTTGAGTTCACAAACCAATCGATTTGTCCAAACAAATAACAAACTTAAAAATTTCAAAAAACGAAAATTTTCACAGAGATCAAACAGATCATGAATCGGGAGAGAAAATGAAAGGCAGACCCGTTCCACCATCGCCGACGATGACGAGCTTGAAGCTCGGGTAATCCACGGTCTGCTGATTCGGCAAAGCCTGCAAAATTTCACCAAAAATATTTGAAAAAAAATAGTCAAAAACCGGTTTTCTCTGCAGCCAAACACACAATACGAAGATCAAAGGAAAGGAACAGAAAATTTCCCGAGAAAAAATGTGAGGACTTACCATTTGCGTCTTGGTCCGACACTTTGAGTGGCGCAGAAGAGAGCAGAACGAGTGAGGGGGAGAGAGGGAACGAGCTGAGATTTGTTTAGGGTTTATATAGTCGGAGCCTTTTCAGAGACCCTAGTACTTCCTTATGTTAGCTTCAACGTGACGCAGCGCTCTGGACCGTCCGATTGTTACACTAAAATGAGATTTGATTGCCACGTAGCGGGATCCGTTTGACGTTTTGGACTGTACCGGGTTTTGTCGGACCCGTTTTGAAAGATTGAATTGGGATGTTGAGCTGTTGGGCTGTTGGGCTGTTGGGCTTGGGCTGCCGTAAAGTGCGACATTTTTTTATCATGAAAAATTGCTTTCCAAGTCTCATTTATTTGTTCAATATTTTCGAGTTTCTGGCATCGATTCATGGGTTGATGCATTTGTCGTATTGATGTTATCTAGTGATATTTTTATTTTGGTGTTGTTAGAGGGTCAGATGCTGCTGAAAGTAGTCACGCATCAAAAAAATTATTTGTGTACGGAGTATATAATTTGGGTCTTTATTTTTTATTATCAATTGATTTTAAGTTGAATGCATACATTCTAATAAAAATTAAATTTAAATATTCTAAATAATGTTGTTATTACGTCGTGGAAACTGTTTATAGGATCCTACCCAGCACAAAAATTCACAAGTGCTTTTCAGGGATTTGGTTGTGCTTTTGGACTCACAAGTGCGTAAAAATTCACCTTAACAAAGCACAAAAATAGTTGAGGAACACGTTCTCAGACCTTTATACAATGAAGAACAATTCTCTGAATTTTTTTCTTTATTATAAATGATATTATTATCTTAAGCTACATGACGACGTGAAAGAACGAGGGTTTAAATCCAGAACTCATGGAATTGAATGGGTCGAAGAGAAATTTGTTATACCCTAAAACAATTTATCACTTGCAATTTTCTATGATGGTTTTGAATCCCCTTTGTTTTGAAAATAACTAAATATCATTATTTTCTCATTTATTTTGCTCATGAAAGTACATAAACCATTCATAAAAATCAAACTATAATTGTACACCCTAATCCCGCTGCTAATCTTCTTTTAAAAAATGAACCAAAAGTTCATCACCATCATCATATAACCCAAATTATGCGACCTCATTCATTGTATATCATAAATATATGGCCTCATTTCCTCACATTCATATTATCAAATTCCAAACCCTAGCTCCAACCCAATTTACCAAATTGGCCCTCATTGTCTAGGGTTTCCGAAGGCTCAACAGCTTCACATCATCAAGCACAGGTCCACACAGAGAAGAGAAATCATCACTCCTCATGGTGTAATATGTGCTTAGAAACATGACACGTGTCCTGGTCGAAACCGCCACGAATTTGAGCACAGCCCGCTTAAACCCGCCTTTGCCTTTGGACTCATAAGGCACTTTCACAGTGTTCTTCCCTGCAAATGCCTCCACGATCAAGGAGCCTTCGCATGAGTTGCTTGCATCTCCTACTGAGAACGAGAGCACATAGGTTTTTCCAGGGATGGTTCGGACAACTTGGGCGATTGCGCTTTCTTTTCCGGCCACAAGTTCCACCGCTCTTTTTCCTTCCGGGACTGAGAAGTGGTCTGAGTCTATGTACTTCACTGCTTTGAGGGACTCCACCATCCAACCTGGTAATGGAGAGTGGTCATCTTCTATGTTTGGTGGGATTAGGACTCCCCAAGATGTGTTTGGGAACACGTATGGACCTTCTTCAAATCCGGCGTTTTTGATCAAGTTCTCTGCAGTAGAGGTATATTATTAGGTAATTGTTGACCAAATTGTAAATCTATACCATTTATCATGTTAATTTGTCATAATTTACTCAAATTTATAGTCTGACAACATAAATTTACCAATACAATGTCTTTCCAACTTTGTACACTTAAATTATGCATGCATCAATGTAACAATGTAAGAAGGGGAGAGACATGATAGACCCTACAATTTTAATACAGCATGAGAAAGAGGGTCATGGCAAGCTGTGTATGTCCAAGACAATGTGACCTAAAAATTAGGCACTGCACCAGCTTTCATTATGAGATTTGCTTTCTTATTATATGTGAAGTTTAAATTGCCAGCCTCGACTTGTAATATCGGACAGGACAAGCGTGAATTCGAATATGACCAAAATTTTAGCATTTTATATATTTTTTAGAACAAATGACGTGCTATTGGTGCTCTCGACGAGAGAATTTTTTAATGTGCATGAAGCACGGCCGGTACACCAGATGTCATTATATAAATGAAAGAATTTTATTTTTTTTCAAAAGTCCGCGTCCCCTTGTATAATGTCATTACAAATGACATATATGTTCATGTTCCAGACACATCGAAAATCTTTCACTTCTGGGAAATCTCACTCTCATGGGGTTTTGGACCCAACTAATAAATGAGCATTGTTAATGAGCCATGACATTGAAATTAAATGGAAATAAGAGATCTATGAAGTTTCTGAGAATAGCAAAGATTTACCTAATTTTGATCTGTTTGTTCTCTTATCAAGGAATCAGTATAGTTTCTATGTTATTAAATTTTTTACTATTTGATGTCACGCATGCCAAAAACTTTGGCAGAGGGACAGGTGCTGCATACCCAAAGAGGACATTTGTCATCAAATAATTGCATCCACAGCTCAGAATTTTAGCCTTTTTAAATGAATCCGGATTCTTGTAGGATTTTCTTTATGAAGAACTAAGGAATTCGTGAATTATGTTTGTTCATTGTAAATCGTGCAGTCAGAAATTATTTTTCATATTTTTATTTAAAATTAAACACAAACAATATTTGACAAAAATTGATCGCACAATACACGATGAACAAACACGATTCCCAAGTTCACAAGATCCTCACCAAAATGATCTAGAGAGAATCCTGTTGGTTTTCAAATGAAGGTGAAACAGTGGCTCCGTACAGCTATACAAATAGTGTGGACCCCATTTTTATCTAAAGATGGACATAAGACTATCTCATTTTATGTAACTAGGTCACCTATATTAAGCAAATACACTATCAAATATTATATTATTAGATTATCAATTTAATCGGCGAATTTGAATATGCAGTGTTAAATTGAGATTTCGAAACATAACGTGCCAAATTTTGATGAGAGAACTTACTGTTGGTTGCTCGAGGAGGGTACAAAGTCCGGAAGGCGACCGAATCGATTAGAGGCCCGCAAGCCGGATCCTCCTCGACGCCGGGGTTATGCAAAACAAGTTCAATTGTCTCATAATCCGCCTGAAACGCCCAAGCATATGAATCCCAACCATTGCTGCTATACACTGTTTGGATAGGCAGCACTCCAGAGTCCGGTGCCACGGAAATGTTCAATCGTTCCTCTTGAGCACAAGTTCTGGCTGCACTAAAAGTGATTGAGTAGTACAATCCCTTAATCACTTTAATGCTCTGCTTAATCAATGCCTCATTTCCGAGCCTAACTGCATAGGCCCCCTCAGGGACAACCAGCAACATGTCCCCTTGCTTTTGGCCTGACTTAATGTACTCCACAAACCCAGAAATCTCCCACTTTGGTATGGCATAGCGGCCAATCACTTCGGAACCCTTGAGGTCTGATGGCTTAGGGGGTAGCTCAAAATTGCCATTTTCTAAGTAACCTGCATTATTGGATTACAATGTTTTAGGGAAGAAATCATTCTTATCGCAATAATCACAATTTGACATATATGCTGAAATAACTCACTAAAAATACAATACAAAACGGAAAAAATAACACGTGTTAAACAGCGAGTGACATGTAGAAGTATACATGCATGTCTACTTCAGAGCAAACATAGAATATGGTACAAGAATATGACTCATGTTACATATAAGTAATGTGTGTACATGAAACTATATGATAAAACTATAACCGAACGAACGCGGAAAATCTTGTTGGGCTCCAAAAGTATGACAGAGTACAAAAAAATAAGTACTTAAAATTTACTGAGCTTATTTTGTTAATTGTTCTACTTTTTAATTTTTTTTTAATTTATTCGATTAGATAATTAAAAATTAAAAAATACGTTTGAAAAATAAAAATAGATGTTGGATAATACTACTCTAAATTTGATGGAATAGACTTCTCTCCCTTCATCTTTCCATTCTTTTCTATTCTCACCACTCATATTCTCTTATTTTATCTTTCTTTTGCTATAAAAAATTTAATATAAAATTTTAACGTGATTTAATCATGACCGTTCAAATAGAAAAAGACAAAAGAGTAGGAAAAAATGAGCCTACTCCAAATTTGATGTTATACAAATCTAGTGGGATCTACTGTGCTTGTACCAAAGGCACCCATGTGAGGTTTCTGTGCACTCTGCAAAGCTAGTAACTAATTGGGTACCTACACAGAATATATGTTAATCACAACCGCCCAAACATTCACTCCTAAAGATCCGAGGAAATCCAAAATCCTCTATAGATAAATTAAAGGCTGTCACAGCTCAGAAAATGAGAAGATACTGAAGAGAAATGAAATGGCAAATTTACCCCTCAAGGAATTCAAATTTTCTACCAACAGAAAAAAATAAAACTGAAAATCTTCAGCAGCTAGGTGGATTGAAACTTCTAGTAACCCTTCTTTCTGGCCTAGTTTGGTACGGTGATTCTAAAAAAAAAGCTAGTATATAAAAAAACTAAGAGCTTTTTTTTATGGTGAACTTTAACGAAAAGTTTTTGGTACTATTCAGTTTAATGAAAAATAACATTTTTACACTAAAAAAATCAAGTCTGATATTATTCACTTTACCCTTTATTTTATTCTTATAGTTAAAACTCAAAGTTTTCAAGTCCTTTTCATTAGTTTTCCTTTTTATGTTTGGTAAACATTGAGCTTCAGCTTTTTTTTCACAGTTTTGGATGAAATAAAAGTAAAAAACAAGAAGCTGCAAAACCAGCTTTAAAAAACCGGCTTTAAAAAATCGGTTTTTTTTCACATCTGTTTTACATAAAAATTTACCAAACACCATAATACTACTTTTTTTTTTTTCAAAAGCATTTTTACAAAAAAAGTTTACCAAACACTTTATAACTTTATTTCACAACCGCTTATTCTCACATCCCAGCAGAATCAGTTTTTTTTTCAAAGCACAGCAATACCAAACTAACCCTCCATGAGTCCATGACCACGTGAGTAGACCAAAACACCCTCCATCCAAGTCTTCAAGAGATGAACTTATGCTTAAGTACTAGGCCATTTTGGTCTTTTTAACATAACGTTCATACATAACCTTGATATACTGAAAATTTTTGCTTATTTCATTAATTTTAGTCCAATTAGAGTTTTGGTCTGTAAATTAAAATTCTGTGAACATAATAAGTTCCTAAATTTGTCACAATGTGAAACAAAAATCTCTTTGGATAATTTCGCTAGAATTCCCTCTTCTTTATTTTCTCATAAAACACAGTATTTTTTGGATGAAAACTCTAATGGAACTACTAAAAAACTATCATTGTAACAAGATCTGCGACCAATACTTGCAGATTTGTAGTTAAATAACCAAAACTGAAATTCAATTCAAAATTCAAGAACCAAAACTTCAGTTTTCTAAGGAGAAAGACCAAGAATTTTAAAAAAAAACAACTAACCGACACATAAAATGCAGATTTTATTTTGATTTTTTTTAATAAACCTCCAAAAAACCGTTATATGAATAATTAAATGGAAAATTTGTGATATAAAAAGCTTACCATCGATGAGGGAGAAGGCTGAGTGGCAAGTGGCAAACAACAGCACCGACAACAAAAAAGCTACCCCTCTCATAGTTTTTGATCAATCAAAATTCAAACCCTGTCTGCAAATTTTTGAGGTGTAAGCTGGTGAGCTATGCAGAGTTGAAGGAAAGAGGGAGAGACGAAGGGTTTATATGCATGCCAACGTCCAAAAAGGCCCTTAGGTTTTACCGAATATAACGAGTTTGCCATCCCAATTTCTGACAATCTTCACGTGGCCTCTGAAATGACGTTAGTTTTAATTTTTTTTTTTTAGTATAAACGTCATATTTTACATTAAGGAGGGTTGAGTTTGATAAGACCACACAGTGTGCAAGTATTGAATTTACTATCTACGATATTCGAACATAAAACCTCTTATTTATTTATAAATAAAAAGAACTATCAACCGATTGTAGTACTATTTGACGTTTTTATTCTTAATTTAGTTATTTTGTTTTTTTATGAGGAGTGAAGTGATTGTGTTAATATGTGATCCGAATCTATGTGCCTTGTGGGAGTGTGCAGACAAAAGCTGTTTAAGGTCACATGGTTTCGTTCGACCTTGGTTGTTGCGAGCATACATGCCCACGACACCCTTTTATCCTCACGTTTGAATCTTTGATCCATGTTTGCAATCCAAGTTCATCGTTGCAAAAGTGATATTAAGGTTATGTTTGAGATTGCATTTGACGAAACGGTGTTTGTGACAATTAAAAGTATTTTTGTTTATATTTAGTGAAAAAGTTTAAAAGCATTTTTGAGATGTAGAAGCAGTTTGTAAAATTTATTATGTAAGTGCTTACTAGCAAAATTGTTTTATACTAAAGTACTATGAAACGGGTCTTAAATTATTATTTTATAACAAGAGGATTTGAACATAGTTACATGCTTTGTTCTAACTAACTGACTTTACTAACTTACATATGTTCGATTGTCTTTAAGAAATGGCAATTAATACAAGTGGTGGATTACCCTAACGATTCGAATTTTTCTTTTTAACTCATTGCATTCTGAGTTTAAATCATTTTCTTTCCCTTAAAGTTGATTAGTGTGGAATTGACACATCCCGACCGGGATCGAGGCATGATGGCCGTCACGTGAGGATGACGTAGCCATGTGCACAGTGCGGAAGCAATAAAGATAAAAAATATACGAATAATTAAAAACCAAAAGTTACTAATGTGCACTAATAAACAGGAAGTGCTAGGAGTGAGATACAAAAGTAAATACTCCTAATCAGAGCATAGAAAGTCTAGGTGCAGTCCAGTAGGACGAGTACTAATTATACAGTACCAGAAGATGTCCTACAAATATTTTATTATGTCAAAACCGCCAAAATCCTCGATGTCACCAACAACAAGCTTACCTAAAACCTGGAGAGGCGCAAAACAGAAAACGTGAGTGGGCAAAAATAAATGTTTTACAAAACTATTTCATTTCTCAAAAGTTCTAATCCCTCGCTATAAAACTTGTATAATTTTCCCAGAAATAGAATATAAACATATGAATAAATATATATATGTAAATATCTCAATTCAATTCATACTTCACATAATCATATTCATAAGTATGCCACGTCAAAACATAAAATAGAATAAGTAACTGAGGTGAGAATAAATTCATGACAATTAACATATTAGCTAGAACCCCTGCATAAGTCTGTACGACCGAATTCATAGCTCATTATTTAATATAGCCGGAGTCACTACAATGACCTATACGACACTACACTGCACATAAGTCGGAACCATTAAAAAGGGTATGTACGACAAGACTGAGTGTAATATAGTTATGCTCAATACTATGCTCTCATGATAGCTGGGCGATAAATCGCTAGTCACCTACAAGTCGGAACCACCTATGATGGTATGTACAACAAGACTGTACACCTAAATTGGATCCAATGTGAGCATATGGTGCAGGAGGTGACTTTAATAACATGCCTATACTCTAACTCTAGTAATTCACAATCACCCAGGGTGCAGGTTTATGAGCTCAATGCTTCTCAATTAATCACAACTTAAAATCACGTTCACAATTCATAAACTCATATGGGCTTACCTGAGCGTCCACAGCACCAGAATTATATATTATGCATCAAATACTAATTCATATACAGAATATAAATTTATATGCATGCCATTCAAGGCATACTTCATTTAAACACATTTTTTGGGGAAAATATCAAGTATATAAATATATATTGAAAATCAAAAGCCCACTCACTGGTATGTCGAATGGTCATAGCCCCAAAGTTGCCCTTGACTGCGCTCGTTCTCGGGATAAGTCTCCCCTATATGCGAAATAACTATAAAAACGTTAATTTAAAACACATAACCAATACTAGCTAATAAATTCTCATACATTGCTCAAATGGGGTGTTTGAATATACCAACGTGATCTACACAACTCCACGAACATCCCCATATTTTTAGAAAAAAATTTCGACCACCCATGCACCGCCACGGGACGGCCAAGGCACGGCAACACGCACGGCCACGCGCAGGGAACCCTAACGGAAACCCTAACTGCCGTTAAGAATATTTTGTTAAATAGTAACGGAATCCGTCAAACTAACCAACGTCTTTAGGAATATTCCATCAAAGTTGACGGAATATTCCGTCATCCCCTACCTCAGAACTCCGACGGTCACCGGCGTCGGAAACTTGGAAATTCTTTAAACCTTCATTTCTCGTCCGTTTCTCAATCAAATTTCATGAAACTTAAACTAATTTGAAGCTTGACACGAATAGAACATAACCATAACTTTTAAAAGCCCTAAAACCCACGGGATTCGTCGGAAAACTCCTCAATATTCCGGCCAAACCTGCAACTCGTCGAATCTCACTATTCCGACGTCCAAAATCTTCCAGCGAACCACTCCTAGCCTCGTGAGGACCTCCTTAAGCTACCTGTAAGCTTGAAATCCCCAAAAACATGAGATTTTACGTTTGCATGAATAGTACCTAAATCGAAGTTCGAGAGAAACTAGGGTTTTCGAAGGTTTCAAGTTCTAAAAATAGTACGAATGGACTCAGGAGCTTGTAGGGAACAAGAACATTACCTTTTGAACGTCGATCCGTGCGTGAAATTTTGGGTTCGAAGTTCGTCCGTACAGGGAGAAAGGAGAGAGAGCGAGTCCGATGAAGAGAGAGCACAGGAGAGAAGAGAGAGGAAGAGTTTGTGTGTGTGTGAGTGGTCCACGTGGTCACCCACCAAAACCACAAAAACTAAGTGCTACTTTGGTCCAAAAATTAAGAAAAAACATAAGTTTGAACCACCCCTAACATGCATAACACACACTACAACACTCATGTCCAAAGGTAAAATAGTCAATTCACGTCATCGATAATTTATTTCGGGACGGGCTGTGACAGGAATATCGCTTGAAAAGAAAAGAAATTAAAGTTAAATTTGTAATATAATTAACCATACTGATGACAATGTATTGTTTTCGTGAAAGAAAATTTGCCACTTGGTAGGGAATGTTCTTAGGGTTAATCACAAATTTAGTCTTAATTATTTGGTATGGCCAAAGTGCATGTATGTAAATTATTAATGTTTGTATGGCTGGCGAGATCATATGAAAGAAATGAGCTCACTTCTTACTCTTTTTTTTTTTTTTTTTTTTTTTAACAAACGATATTGTCTATAATAAGGGAGATAGTGGATTTAACCTCATAATGAGCTACCAATAATGTGACTCAATTTCTCTTTGGCAAAAATCAAACCTAAAACATCTTATCTACAAATAAATAAGAATGGCACTAGATCGTAGTACTAAGTTGCATCTCACTTCTTAATTAGCTCGCCATGATATATTACCATATTATTAATTTAAGTTAAATCTTAATATCAAAACAAGATATACTAATGAAGATTTGAAAGTGATAGTTCGAGATAGGAGTAATAATTATTTAGACGACTTGAAACCGACATGAAGTTATCTTTTTTTTTAATGCAAGTACAAATATGATACAACCAGCTAAACACGGACAATAAACTCGTATTCTTAGAGTGATATGAGAAAAATGATAGATTTTCAATTTATTTGTACGTTTTATACGAGGAGTTTTTTTTTATTGGTTTTTTTATACAATAGTGAGAGAATGGAGAATGAAACGTAAAACCGCAAAAAGTAGATGTTTTTAAGCATTTAAAAGTAGCCTCTCAAGTCTTGGTTGCCACAATTTTGATCATCAACCAAAAACATATAACATGTCAAACTATTTGATAAAAACGAAACGAGGTTTCTTTAGTCAGAGACGGCGTTAAGGGGGAGCGAAATGTACAATCACACATGGCCCCCAAATTTAAAGGGCCCCCCAAAATTGTTTGGTATCTTATATTTATATGTAATAATGTTATATATTAAAAATATTTTTATTAGCACTTTAAAATCTTATAGTGTACTTTTTATAAGTGTATTTTTTTTTCTTTCTAAATAAAAATTTTTGGAGTGCACAATGAGATAATAGGAGAGCCAAAACAACACCTTAAAAAACGATTTTCTTTTCAATTTTATTGTATAATAATGCTATATATTCAAGTGAAACTTTAAAGTTAGAGTTTTTTAAGTTTTTTTTTTTATTTGGTTGCTTAAGATTGAACTGTTTTTTATTATTTATTGAAGATTATATTTGTAACTCTTTTTACTTATTTAATGACATTTGTAAACTTACAGTGAGTCTAAAGGTCGTTTTGATTTTTGTTATTATTTTTAGTACCAAAATATTATCCTACTTTTTAAAAAATAAAAACTATCTTAAAAAGGGGCCCTTTTATAAATTTCACATAGGGCTCCTGAAATCTCAGAGACGGTCCTGTCTTTAGTATTAGTTAAAAGACTAATTAAACAGTGCATGTGCAGTGATAGAGAGAGAATCATGCAAACTCATATATGTTCTAAAACTCCCTTTCTTTAAAAAGAAAAAAAATAAAGACAATTCGTAGCAAGTTATGGTTGACCACTCATTCCGAGGGTCAGAAATATTTAAGGAGACATTTCAGCCTCCTTGGCTACAATCAAGTAGACTCACTAGCTTGAAGCCTCGAATCAGGGACGTCCTTTGTTTATACCATATTTAGGGCCTTCGTATTTAGATCTTGTACAAATACTCAGGGGACTTACA